TGGGCTAAGGTGGGCTCGGACCTGTTTATGTTTGACAACAAGGACTACCTTATCACAGTGGACTACTATTCAAACTTCTGGGAAATTGACTATCTCCCGGACACTAAGTCCACCACAGTGATTAGAAAGCTGAAGGCTCACTTTGCCAGACAGGGCATCCCGGACATTGTTGTTTCAGATAATGGACCACAGTATACGTCCGGTGAGTTTCTGAGATTTAGTCGACTGTGGGGTTTCCAGCATAAAACATCTTCGCCAGGTTACCCTCAGAGTAACGGGAAGGCTGAATCAGCAGTGAAGACAGCAAAGAGGCTGCTGCTAAAGGCAAAAATGGCGGGGCAAGACCCGTATCTTGCGATTCTGGACCATCGCAACACACCATCACAAGGCCTGGAGACCAGCCCAGCTCAGAGGCTGCTCAGCAGGAGGACACAGACGCTTTTGCCAACCAGGACAAGCCTGCTAAGGCCGAAAGTCATTCCAGCCCGGCGGGAGTTGGAGATGAAACAGAAGCACCAAAAACTGTGCTATGACCGATCAGCACGAGACATGGACTCTTTGAAGCTAGGGGACAGTGTCAGGGTTCAGCCTTTTGACCGCCATTCCACTTGGAGCAGGGGAGTGGTGATTGGGACTGTTGACCCGAGGTCCTATGAGGTTCAGTTGGACTCTGGAAGTGTCCTGAGGAGGAATCGGAGGCACCTGAGACATGCAGGCGTGATGGATCAAGAAAATGCCATAACAGACACTCGGGCACTGACCAGCTCAGTCACAGCTCCTGCAGACACTCGTGAGCGGCAGATCAAGACTGCCGAGGTATCAGGGGGTGTCAGGACAAGGTGGTTCCACCACTTCAGTACAAGGACAATGTCACATAATGAGGATTTCTTGTTCATTGTTTGAGGGGAAGAGTTGTGTATTCTGTGGATATTGATGTTCACTACAGCTTACAGAAATGTACATGTTTGAACAAGTGGAATGCTTTTGTATTCTTTGAGTGTTTCATATTGTTTGCTCCCTCAGTGAGAAGAAGGACAAAACAAAAGAAAAAAAAAAGAGAAGGGATGTAATAATGTGAATTATTGTTTGCAAGATGTTTTGTTCCACAATAGATTGTGTTGCTGCACGGACGTTTTAGAGTGTCACACAAGTAAAGATTGTTAGGCTGTATGTTGCTATTGTACATGGCAGAGGACCAATCTGAGTCGCATGACTTGTTAATAAAACTTCCTACCCCGTTGGGTAGCAAATAGATATTCTGGAGTCTGTCGTGAATGAGACCAGAATATAACACATTTTAATTTTTTCATTTCTAAATGTGGAAATTGTCGTGATGCACAAACAAAATTTATAACATTATCTTATTGTATTATTTTTGTATAATAAAAAAATGTATTATACAAATCTATAGAAATTCAAATGTATTATTTAAAAACACATGTTGCAATAAAATATTACATTTGTAGATTCTGTGCTAACTTTGAACATTTTTGTTACCATTTCAGTGTCTGAGACGACGGCTGTTCTGCTGGGGAGCAGCTGGTCTGAGTGGGAAACTTCTTACTGGGAGAGACAAATTTAACAGAGTGGATGAAAAGTGGACTCAAAGCAAAGAAACAGTTCTCATCAACACAGATCTGCTTCATTCCAGCATCTCTGAAGACAAACTAAAAGGGCGCTCATGTGTTTCTGCTGGTCATACAGCCTGAGGACTTGACACAGCAACACAAACTGAGGCTCTGTGAAATTCTGAACATCTTCAGTGATTATTCTTTTGACCATTCACTGGTCCTGACATCAACACCCAGAGCTGATGGAGAGACCTTTGCAGGTCTTGATCAGATTTCAGTCTCGGAGACAGAAATTCTTCAAGTTCAGGAGTTGCAGACAAAAATGGATCCAAGTGTAGAGCATAATGATGGGAGGCATGTGATCCGTCATCCAAGCAGAGCTGGAGCTCCTGTTAACTTTGTGCTCTATGATTAAGTTTACAGGAATATTCACATTGGTTGCAAGTTTTTATTTTAATACATTTGTAGGAATTTCAAGCTGTTTTTCAAGTTGTCATTATGGATCATTGTGTTGAATTTTGAGAAGAAAAATGATTTTAATAAATTGTGGAATAAAGCTGTAACATGACGAAATGTGGAAGTGAAGTGCTGTTAAAACCTTCAGCATGCTGTGTAGTTAGTAAATAATATAAAGGTTTCATTTGGAAATCGAGTCAGTGCCAATAACTACACCACCTTCACTGTGACACGCAGGTTTCTCACTGGAAATACAGCACACACAGAGCTGCTACATAAAAGACACTATCCACAAAACGTGTCCAACACCAGCTTCATCTTTTCTGAACATAAGTTAGGATATTGTCTTTTTGAATTAATGGAACTAAAACAACATTTCACCGTTATATGTATACAGTTATAATTTACTGGAAATCCACTAAGTAAACCTGGACAACCTGTCAAATAACAATCAAACCTCTTCTCAAACACAATCAGTGTGGAGAACATCTGCTCTCATCACTGGTTTTGTTTTTCCATCTCATAGATTAGAAAAACTTCATGAAGCAGAGATTAATTTAATGCCGTAATAGAAAGAGATGAAAACATACAAGAGAATAAAGGAAGCAATCATAGTAAAAGTGAGTAAATGTCATGAACCGAAGCAAAAGTTTATTTATATAGCACTCTTCACAGACAGACAGGTGAAGAAACATCGAGACGCTTGGGATAAAGAAAGAACGGAGATCTGGGAGCGAATGCATGAGGAGGATAAACTGAACCAGGAGGAGGTGAAAGCAAGTAACAGAAAGCTGCAGTAGGATGAAACACCGCATCTATTCATGGATTATTCTGCTGCTGTCATTGCTTTTATTTTTATGTAACACACTGATGCAAAGACCACAGAAAAAACACACGTGAAGTATTAAAACATGCATGTGTGTTTGCAGAAAAAGGAAACAAGTGTGTATTTAGGAGGTGAAGAACAAAAATCTGAATCAAGAGCTGACGAGTCAGTAACAGCTTGGATGCAGGTGCATCACCAGGAAGGTGACCTACCCACTGAATGTAAGCCTTTAACTGTCCAAAGTTACTTTACTTACGTCTGTGCTTCAGTGGTGAAACATGTCATCGTTTTATTGTTGTGATTTTCTTTTCTAATTTTAGACAAATGTCCTCCTGACATGTGTGCGTTCGTCTGAGGCCTTTTTAATTTCTCTCATCTGTGAGATCAGCTGAAACAATAAAGCTGCTACTGATTCCTAAGCCTGTTCCCATGTCGGCAGATCGTAATATTGACATTATTTTGAAATGTACATGTTAATTTGTGTAAGCTACTCAGATGAGGTGGAAAGTTGAGCCTCGGGGAACAGATTTAAACTCTTTTAATGATGGAGCAAAAAAAAAAATTACCCTGAAAATCTGCTCAAATTAAAAACAGTCATGCTTTTAAATGTGATGAGGTTGTTTGTTAGTGAGGAATGTTTCATACATTTTTTTACATTTTTAGTGTGATGGTTGATCTTTGTTTGTTAGTGTTTTTTATTTCTTTATCTTTGTTGCAGTTTGAGTGTGTAGTTCAAGTTGAAAACTAACTTCTGGCTTAGCTGCAGATGAAACGTCTACACAGAGCTGAAACATTTTGCAGCAACGTGTTCACTCTGTGTGAGAGACTATTTAAACCCGTGTTCACAATAAAACATCAGCTGTGTCCATTGTGAGGTATTCTGTAACCAGGAGACATACAAGGCATTATGTCATCGCAATCAGATGCTTTTACAGGATTTTTGCAATTTTATTTATTTAAACTTGTGCTGAAGCTCAGGAAACAAAGAAATGCCATAAAAAAAAAAAAAATACAGCTCACAGTACAGAGCAGTGTTCCTGTTGTGGAGCTACTGCAAGTTTGCAGAATGCAGCAGTCGCAGTCATGTATAACATGTTTAATGTCAATTATACACTAAGATGTTTGTGCAAACAGAAGCCAACAGGTGTGTTAATATATTATTAATGCAAGTAATAGTCACACCCAAGATTTTCTGCCCCCTGCTGGCAAGACCTATGTTGGTAATAATGTTAATTGACATGCACATAAGAGAGGAAGTCACCCTACTTCCTCTCAAATATATTAAGTTCAAACATTAATATATTCATTCCTGCAGACACAATGTTTGTCGCTCTGTACATTCCTCAAGATTTCCAATCACCTCTTGAACCTATTGTGGTTTGTATCCTACCACAATATTTTTAGTGGCTCTTATATAGCAACCACATATTGGCCCCCTTTATGCACACACGAAGAAAAAAAAAGATAAAATGAAGGTCAAACAGGGAAAACAATGTCAGAATGAAGCTTATTTATATTCCTTTTCGGTACATCTGACTAAAGACAGTCATCAGCAGTGAGCTGTACTCTTCAGGTGTGCAGGTCAGTCCGGAGATGGCATTGTATCCTGGGTGAACGTCAGCTGAGCTGAGAGGACAGATCCTTCTGAAATTCTTAATGTTCAACAAATTCTGTATTCAGCAACTAAGCGGGTGACGGTGGGATGACCAACATTATGCACTCACTTGATCAGCCAATCCACAAAGTGGTGAAATGTAGTGAAACTGACAAACTGTAGCACAACACCTCAGCGTTTGCAGGTTTAACAAGACCAAATGTAAACTTACAGAAACTATTTTATAAATCAAATTTTCAAAACCATTTCCTGCATTTGCTCCAGAAAAGAAACTACAGAAATGTGATTTTAGAGGGTTTGGGTGAGTTTAAGAATTGCAGGTACCAATACTCTACCAGATGATGGTAGCCACTAGTCATTGTTTAAAGTTAGCACAAAGCTAAACTGCATTTAGCGAGAACGGACCATCAACTTTGCTTTCTCTATGCTAATCAGCATAAAATGTGGGATTAGACCAGAGTTCAATGTTTGCATTCAACAAATGCAAACATTGGTGCAGGGCTTATAGCAATAAACTCAAACCACTCAGTGATTAAGTAAATAAATGACATTTTATTGAAAGATTTACCTGAACAGTTTGTAGAGTTTTATGACAGGTTATTTGACCAGAGAGATGCAGTGGAACTTTTTGTCTAACAGTTTGCAACAGCTCAAACCAACTTTCCTCAAACTGGACTAGAATTGCTAAGTTGTTTTAAATGCCGTTTAAGTGAAACTTGTACTGTAACACTAAAACCAGAGTCCTCATATTCACAGCATCTTCAGGCGTGTCCATGCGAGACAAACCAGACACATCTAGCTGGGACAGTGGAAGTACGGCGAATCTTGCACGGGCGGAGGGGGCGGAGCATGGAAGCGTTTTAGAAGCACTTGCGGTGGACGATGGTGGGGCCGGACTCATCGTACTCCTGCTTGCTGATCCACATCTGCTGGAAAGTGGAGAGAGAGGCCAGGATGGAGCCGCCGATCCAGACGGAGTACTTCCTCTCGGGGGGAGCGATAATCTGGAGACGAGAACAGATTAGACACGAGGCAGGCAAGTACCTGTAGGCCCGTCTAGAGATGCACAGCAGCAGGTAGTCAAGTTTGAGAAGGTGTACACTAGAGGGCAGCAAAACTAGCTTCAGATAGATTTATAGTGGTGCCAAATGCCAGAGAGGAGGGTGTAAGTGGCACCGTTAAAGTGCAACACTGCCTCCCGTCATGCATGGGCAGAAGTTGATGACAGATTTAAAGTTTGCAGTTTTTAAAGTGCAACACTGCACAAGTTTACAGCTCAAGAGATCCAAGTAACAAACCTTAATTTTCATGGTGGGCGGGGCCAGGGCAGTGATCTCTTTCTGCATGCGGTCGGCGATGCCGGGGTACATGGTGGTGCCACCGGACAGCACAGTGTTGGCGTACAGGTCCTTACGGATGTCCACGTCACACTTCATGATGCTGTTGTAGGTCGTCTCGTGGATACCAGCCGACTCCATACCTGAATGAAGTTTTAGTGCAGAAGTGAGAGACCTGATGCACCAAGGCTTCAGCCCCTTTCAGAAAAATTCAGACTCCAACAGGCGTCTCTGGAGGGTAACTGATGATTTACAAACCAAGGAACGAAGGCTGGAAGAGCGCCTCGGGACAGCGGAACCGCTCATTGCCGATGGTGATGACTTGTCCGTCAGGAAGCTCGTAGCTCTTTTCCAGGGAGGAAGAGGAAGCTGCTGTCTGCATCTCCTGCTCAAAGTCCAGAGCCACGTAACAGAGCTTCTCCTTGATGTCACGCACGATCTCACGCTCGGCTGGAGGTCAGAGTTGACAGTTAAATGGACACTTGGACGTGCGCATCATGGTTTGTAACTGCAGTAGCTGCAGATTATGGCTTTACATCAGCATGCTTGAAGGTAAAACTGCACACATACCAGTGGTGGTGAAGCTGTAGCCTCGCTCTGTCAGGATCTTCATCAGGTAGTCTGTCAGATCTCTGCCGGCCAGATCCAGACGGAGGATGGCGTGAGGCAGAGCGTAGCCCTCGTAGATGGGCACGGTGTGGCTGACACCGTCACCAGAGTCCATCACAATACCTGCAGGACAGAACACTCAGGTCACTCTGGAGCCACTGAGCTTTGTGCTTCCTCTAATGGTCACTAGCTGCTGCTCTGAGCAGGGCCAGAGAATACTCAGAGAAGCAGCTCCAACCCCCAACTGAAGAAACGAGCCCCAAGCTAAACAAGGAAGTTTATCTGAAGCAGAACTCTGCACAGCAAGATCCTGAAACGCTGGAGACCCACCTGTGGTACGACCAGAAGCATACAGCGACAGCACGGCCTGGATGGCCACGTACATGGCAGGAGTGTTGAAGGTCTCGAACATGATCTGCA